GGCGGAGCTCACAACACAAGCCCCTGCCGGTTTACGACACCCATGGTGTACTGGCAGACAGCAAAGTTCTGCGGTTACTGAAGTGATCGAAGGGAAGCTTGCAAAGGAAAAGGAACGAAACTACAATATTGGCATCTGCATTTGGTGCGGGTCTCCAATTGATCCGTTGAAAAAAGCATCGGGCGAAACACCTGGTTTCACCTAACGGAAACGATGATAGAAGCCACAATTAAGGCTTGGTTATTGCCCCAGAAACAGCACTCCACATTAACCTGCTGTTCCGCTACCCTCTGGTTTAAACAAGGCACAGGGTAAACAGGCGGACACCCCCGTGGCCAAGCGCAAACGCCATGTGGCAATATTTCATTTCTCCCTATCCCTAGTCTTCACATGATGCAACGTATCCGTTTAAAAGTTGAAGACATCCAGCCGAAGGGGCAGAAGAAGGAAAATCAGCAATGAAAATAGAATAAGACAGAAGCGTCAGGGCTGCCGTTCGTCCTTATTAGATTCTAGGGTGAATGAGAATGCAAGACTGATACGCAAGCCGCCGGGTGACAACGGGAGAACGTTCACAGAAACGGAGCATCGCAAGGTAGTAGATAATGGAGAACACTGGGTTTATAGGGATTGTTTGGGGGTAGAAGGAAAAACGGTTTTAGTACTGTTCATCAGGGAAACCCTTAGCCTCAGAGACATCATGAGCTTCTTGGGAGGAATAAGCCGGATTTGTCTTATTGGTTAAAGTAGAGTTCACTACAAAGGTTCTTGGCCACAGGGGGACCACTACCAGCTTTAAGCTGTTTCGCGCCATCTAGCAATGCGGATGGTGTTTTGTAAACGTGCCTGAGGGTCACGCCACCCTGGTTGTTTTCGATTCAGTGGAAATTGAGGTAAGTAAGTTTCAATGATGAGTTGTGCCAAAGGTTAATCAAATGACAATCGCCTCAAAGAGGTGCTCTCTCAAAAAGACTGCTCCATGAGGAATAGAATTCTCGGGGTCAGAGTGGGGATGTCGAGGCGGGAATAGGAGAGATGCCTGTCGCCGGAGCAAGTGTGACGTGCAGCGGATGGGGCTTTCGCGGACTCAAAGAAGGTTTGTTAAACCCTGTAGGAAGGATATAACCAAAATCAGAAGGCAGGAAAACGTAAATCTGTTTTGAGGTCAACATTTTTTTTCAGCAATAAAGAAATCCACAAAGCTGGACCGTCAAAATTATTATTATTTCCACCCCACCGACCTTCTGTCACGCTCACATCCGTTTCCTGCCGACATTGCTTGATCATCGGGAAATTTGTCAACTGAGGGACAAAGAGTACTCCGGCCTCGGGCATCGACACTCATTCCGCAAACCGGCAACTCCAACGGATGGCACTAATGCATCATCAAATCACTCTGGTTTCGTTATGGAAACCAAGCGTCTCCCGGAATCCCTTAATACGCAGTGTGCATCCTGTTATGCGGTGGTCACCGAACGCTATGTTAAAAACTCATCTGCTGCTAGGAATCCTTTAAAAAATCAGCTGTTTTACGTCCTTGTGCTCATCTTGGAAGATACTCGGAAAAGCATGGTGTCTCCTGCGCGGGATATTGATGTTTCACCTCCGACTGCTCTCCAGATTGTCTGAGTGCATATCTGGAGGTGTATGCAACACAAAATGATTGTGGTTAGCTACCACGAGGTCCCTCTCCCGTCCACCTTATTCTTTTCTTTACAATAAGGCTTTCAAATAAGTAATGGTCGCACGGCAAGGAAGCATCGGTGTTGAACACTGACGTCATGCTGTCGATGATGATGATGATGATGATGATGATGATGATGATGATGATGATGATGATGATGATGATGATGATGATGTAATATCGAGCACTCTCGGAGTCCAACCTGTGAGCAGTAGGCTTCCCACCCGTGTTGACTAATTGGACCAATTGAAACACCTACAGATTAAAAGTAAACGGCGCAGTACTGTTCCTCTTTGCGTTTGGCAGCTTTCCTGAACTGGAGCACAACATCATGAGTGTGCCGAAAAAGTTCGTGGTTCCCCGAATCCGCAGACTAATATACACGACCGGTAAGCCCACCCTGGGCTACTGTCACATCTGAAAGGGTCACAGGCCCACTCATACCTTCTGTAGCAAAGGCGGCGCTGATAAATTTTCTCTGATGGCCCTGTTATTCGAATGAACTGGGATGGTAAAATGCCCTACAAGATCAGAGTGCACACTGTCGTGTGGCGACTGCTCTCATTTACAGAAGTTGGTGCACAGAGCAACCTTCCTCTCGGAGCAACCAGCGATACATATGAGACTTGTTTGTAGTTATTTCGAGACGTTTTTCCATGTTTAGCATGCAACCCTGAGACGGATTTTATGCGGATATTTTATCACTTGTGCTTGTCAGATGAACTGTTGCCAGTAAACTACAGGAGAATCCCCAACCCTGGAGCATAGGTTGACTTACCGACCCGAAGCATTGATCAGAATAAATGTCCATCTTCCCACTCGGGTGGGGACCTAATGAACCTGTTGCACCCATCGAACCTGCCATACACGATTATTGAACTAAAATGCTTAAACTAGCGCCTGTTATTTCCGCGAATTTCAAAGACGAAATGACTTTCTGCGCATCATGTGCCATTGCCGCTGCGTTCGGCATTCGATATTCACGTACTCAGGGTAGGCAGAGAACCAATCCTCCTTTACTTCCTTTGCTATACGCCATTGCGATGGCTGGTGTCTTGTGCCAATATCAGTATCTACTGCCCAAACATCTAGATGTGTGGTTCACCGATGATGCATGGAAGGGCTCAAATAGACTAACGATCTACATGCCTCAGCCCCAACCGTACTTGAACTTGTTGGAATAATGTGATTTTGGGTTTACACTCGCCTCTCTGTCCCCGCTTTTCTCGTGGGAAATTTCAGGAGTTATAGCTTCCCCGATAGCCTGCGTACAGCAGTTTCTCTCTTCGCGCGCATGCTATTAAACGGCATTCGTCTAATGTCAGGGAAAAACACCTTCCATAGAATTAATATGGTTTCACAGAATAGTAGTGTGTGGCTGTCGGAGGTCATGTGTTTTCGGTGCTTCGAACGTGCACAGTGAGGTTAATAGACCTCAGGGTGCACCTTCTACACTGTTCTGGTCACTATATCCACCGGACTGTGTTTGCTGGCACTTGTTCCCTAGTGGCCAGCTCGCTCATTCGTGCCAGATCCTGTAAGTTAGCTTGGTTGATTTTATTTTCGGTACGGGTTCAGATAAGTTTTGAATTCCTGCCTGACTAATGCGTGATTGGAACGGGAGTATGGAG